ATTATTTGCAGAAAATTAATTCCTTATCAAAAACATTTTTTAGACCAATGAGGTGAAATAGGATGATTTTCTACGACACACCTGACCATCACTAACGGCACACTAGTGTACCGAGGACCAGGGGTTGGAAAACACTGAGATAGAAGCATGGAAAGGGGAATATCTGAGTATTCTGGCTCCTCTGAGCTCAGACTGGACATCCATCACTGAAACCCTGAGGAGAACATGCTCTCTGTTCCAGGGTCCTGCTTTTCTCTGTGACCTTTGACCTCTGGGCCTCATATCTATCAGACACTACTGTTTAAATCTAAAGGAAAACGCTTTCAGACGTTTGATCCAAACGGGCCAATGGGAGCAGGGCTGCTGTCCCATGTGACCTGAGAAAGGAGAGGATACTGTGTGGGATCCATTTAGATGGAGGAACATCTGAGTGGGGAATACTGTAGAAAATCATTGAAAATCAGCTTTTTAGGTCTTTAGATGAAGGAAATATTTGAAAAACAGCATTTAAGTTATTTAGATTAAGTAAAACCACTGAAAAAAATCAGCTTTTTAGGGCTTTAGATGAAGGAAAATCATTGCTGTGTTCAAAGAGCTCAGAAATCTCAGCTTTTCCTGCTTTCTTGCTGTTTGAAGTCTAAAGGAAAATGCTTTTAGACATTTTCCACCAATCAGGTTCTGATGGTGGAATTAAAATGTTGTAAACAAGTCATTTTGACCATCAGAACCAAATGAATTAAATCTGTAAACAGACATTTTAAATCTAAAGATAAACCCACTGAGCCTCTAGGAAGAAAAACTACCTGAACCAGGACAAAGTCTGGTTCTTAACCTGATCAGAGACCTGGACCAGAAACCAGGTAGAAGCCTCTGGATCTCAGGAGGTTAAAGAGCTTTTGATTCTTAATAGACCTTTTTTATTGTCTGTTTTGGGTTATTTTGTCTCCTTTTCTGGTCTTTTGCTCAACGTTTTCTTTCATTTTCTGGTCATTTATTGGAGTTTTGTGTCCATTTCTGATCATTTTCTGGACTTTTTTTGCAGTTTTGTGTCTTCTTTTGCCTTTTTGTGACCATTTTGTCCCCATAAACAGACATTTTTCATCTAAGGATAAACCCACTGAGCCTCTATGGAGAAAAACTACCTGAACCAGGACAAAGTCTAGTTCTTAAACTGATCAGAGACCTGGACCAGAACCAGAACCAGAACCAGAACCAGAACCAGAACCAGATGGAAGCTTTTGGCTCTTAGGAGGTTAAAGGGCTTTTGATTCTTAATGGACCTTTTTTTGTGTCTGTTTTTGGTTATTTTGTCTCCTTTTCTGGTCTTTTGCTCAACGTTTTCTTTCGTTTTCTGGTCTAGTTCTTAACCTGATCAGAGACCTGGACCAGAACCAGAACCAGAACCAGAACCAGAACCAGAACCAGAACCAGAACCAGAACCAGAACCAGAACCAGAACCAGAACCAGACAGAAGCTTCTGGCTCTCCGGAGGTTAAAAAGAGAATTTGAATGCAGTCTGGGGACAGAAACTTGCTTACAGCAGCCGGCGGCGGGCCTCCAGCCCTCCAGCGAGATGTTGCTGAGCAGGCGGCAGGTCTGGGCGTAGGCCTCCAGCAGCGGGCAGCCGGCGCCCCCTGCTGGAGGGAGGTGGCACTGCGTCTGAGTGCAGGCCTGGAGGAAGGGGTGCGGGTCCACGTCCCGGTGGCAGAACGAGAAAGGAGCCTCCAGCAGGCGCCCGCACCTGTGGACGGACACGGAAATGTTTTTATTTAAACTTTATTTAACCTTTATTTAACCAGGAAGTCTCATTGAGATTCGGAATCTCTTTTTCAAGAGAGACCTGGCCAAGGTAGCAGCCAAACCACAAAAAAAATCATACATAATACATTTTACATAATAAAATCAGAGCAATATGTTAAAACACATTGAGCATCTCAAGAAAAACAAGCACATATCTCCAACACTACACTCTTCATGGTTGCTTTGAATTCATTAATGGACACTAGAGTTTTTAATTTGAGCTCTTTATGGAGGTTATTCCAACCCCAATGCAGTTTTTCCCAACTCAGTTGAAGCCCGGGGTACATTAAAAAGTAACCAGATAACTAGCAGAACTCACAGAGAGGAGGTTACAGAGGTACAGTGGGAGTTTACCCAGTGTTGCTTTATAGATAAAAATACACCAGTGCTGTTTTCTACGAATTGTTAGTGATGTCCAACCAACTAGATCATAAAGAATGCAGTGATGAGTAAGGGACTTAGAATTTGTAATGAATCGTAATGATGCCGCCCACGTGCACGGCAGCCTCCTGAAACCCCCCAGATCTCCTGTTCTGGTGGAGGACGTTTCTGCCTCTCTGTTCCAGGATCATGCTTTTCTCTGTGACCTTTGACCTCTGGGCCTCATAGCAGACGCTATCA